TCGGGTCACTTCCGCTAATTGCAGCAACTCGCTGCGCTCGATGCAAAATACAGATATATTATACCTAAAACCTATAATATTGTATACTTGGCAGAATTTTGTACCTTTTGATTTATATGGCAGGGTTTTGCCCAGAACCTGGCGATGATGTCTTACTGGACCGATCTTGCATACGACGAACTGCGTGCCTCCACGACTAGCACGTCTGCTCTTTTGATGGGATTTGCCCCATCGTTATCGCCCGTGGTGGACTGGATATTCATGGTGTGGACCGGCATCCTTGTCGTACTAAGTGATGCGCCATTAGCTTTATTAGTAACATTGGAGGTGCTGGTCGTGGTCGTAATTCTAGCGGCTGGTCTGATATTCTCCGCAGTTACCATTGTATATGCTATCTTGCATATTCTCTATAAAGCCCTGGCAGCCGCTGTCAACTCACTTTTTCCCCAAATGAGAAGCCGGATGGAGCGTGCTACGTAAGTATAGTACGCAGTATTAACTATCGCGCAAATGTCCAAATGGGTCTGCTTACAATTGAAAATCTGATCGGCTGCTAGGGCCTGTCGACGGAAACCGGTTATTGTCTGAAACTAAAAACACGTCCACATGCTAATTTTGATCCTGATTCGATGAGCAACATCTGTCGAAGGCATTGAACTTCGCTAATCGGATGTAACCCGCTATAGAAATAATTTTTGAATTTTTTTTAGCCATTTCCGCGACTATGATACCATGGAAAACGGTCAGTTAAACCCAGACGGTCGAAACGGTTCCGTGGACGACATAGGCCCTAATATTCGTCACTGTGCAGATTGCAATAAGGATGGCATCGAAGCGAGTATTCGAGATTGTCTTGACCATTCGGAGAAGCAGAAGGCAGAGGGTTCCTTGGACGAGAACACTTCGGAAAACCTCCAGGCAAGCAGCGCAAAACAGCAGGCGGTCATGCCAGAACCAGCCACAAAAATGTGCTCACAGAAGAACTCAGAAATAACCGACAAACCCTTCTGTGTTTGCTCGTTATGGGCTAATGTGCAGTGTGCCACTATCGTAGTGCTGCGAAATAACATTGCCGGAGTAAGCTTGCCGTTTCCCGTTGTTGCGTTCTTCCTGCCAGAACGCTTACAACTGCCCGGACTGTTGTGGCTGCTGACGGCATATTTGCTGTGGCACTATGGCGAAATGATTCGCACTGCGTGGCAGCTGCGCAAAGAAAAACGCGCTGATGATGCCGCCGAAAAGCAACAGGAAGAACAGAAACGGGAGAAAACGGCGCAATCGGGAAAAATAAAGGTGAAAAATGAAGTCGTTACACGTTCGTGTGGATGATGCTCCAACAGCAAGCATGCCAAGATGGAAAGTACCTGCGGCGACAACATGCACGGGTACCCATACCACCTAGCCAACAACTGGCATGAATGGCATCATCGCTAATCCGGCGACCCTATCACTGCGAGACTGCGCGTAACTTTGCATCGCACTGCAGACTGTACATCGCTGAAGTATTACTTAGTGGTGACTCACCATTTCGTCAACCGTCACGTCGTCGAACAGACATGATATCGAACCGTCACGACATTGAGCTAGTGTGTAGCTAAATGAGCCTAAATCCTCTTGATTTTCTTTTCTTAGTTTTCTTAGGTTTTCTTACGTTTCCTTATGCTTCTTATGTTCTCCTATATTTTCTTATGCTTTATTATGTTTTCTTACGTTTTTTTTTGTTTTCTTATGTTTATCTTAGTCGTCACCCTTGTAACGATCGATGTAGTGTGGCCGACATTGTGTCGGTCGCCGGAGTGTTGGTCGACGAAATATCGTTGAGCCTTACGCAGTAATTTACATTTTCTGCTTTTGTGGTTGTGCCAATAGCAGATTTATGCATTTTCGGAACGACACCGCAGCTGCAACTGAAAAAACCTATAGCGGGCCTGTGGTTTGCAGAGGCTTCGCATAATATACTTCAGTAATTTTTCTTAAATAAATTCTTTCCTTTGGTAATTGCTTATACTGTAGTTTTCCGTTTGCTAAAATAGAAAAGCATTTGCATAATTGTTCGCATGATCGCATTAGCTGTATACCATATCTGCCTCTTCAGCCATTGTTTAAAATGGATTACAGCAACTTTACGTCATAAAATGGTGCAAATAAATATTTATCCTTGTAGAATTTCATGCATTACTGGACCGTGGACACTATACACACTGCAATTCCCCATCGGTTGGCAATCACATGCTTATCGATTGTACTGTTAGATGGTCAGTCAAGTCACAAGTGCAGTATTATTCTAGTTTATACCGAAAACGGCAAAGTAACACTTTTCAAATCCACGAAGCCCTGAAAGTTACAGAGCACACAAACAGCAGCGCATCTCACTGTCGACGGATTTTCTGCAAAAAGACATGCAGAGGGCAGTTTGGGGCAGTGATCCGCTTAATAGCATTAAGCGGTCATCGCCCCAGATTGTACTCTGCATTAAGGACATCTCTGCATTAAGTTACGTAATACTGACTTACTGAGCATTGGTTTAAACTCGTGCGGCTGCGGTTACGGTATCTACGCAAGCACGACATATTGGCTGTGACTGAAATAAAAATAGTATCCCACATCCAGGATAGATGAAAACCTTGCGTGTGGGAGTATGAAAGGGAAGTATGAATCTACCTGATTTTACCTAGCAGCGGCACACGGTATCCGCTGGATCAGCTTATAACAACGACGCATTGCAATTTAACATTTTTACATCGCGGACGTACGAATCGAACGGTTACGAGGAGTCGATATTGATCTCACCAGATTGCTTTAAATCTCATGCCCAGCCAAACTCGTACACAATTACCTCGATGCGTTTCCAGTATGAGGCAAACAAACAGGACCACATGCAACGGTTAACGCTACGGAGGCGCTTATTATAAGTTGCCGTAGTCTGCTAGAGCGTCGACACTTCCGAGATGTGGGTTTAATCTAGATTAAATCCTCTGTTTAACTGTGTTCCTTTTAGGTTCTTTCATTACTCTGTAACTGGTCGTAATGGAGAAGCACCGAAGAACGTTAAGAAAGCGCCTTGATAAGGACCATGCGTGGGTTTATCAAGAAATTATGGTGGAAGCCCTTGTCGTTCTCTGGATTAGCTGTCAAATCTCTGCTAAACTGGGAACACGTATTTTTCCTGAATGGCAAACAACCCGCGTCGATCCCAACATACTGACTGGTTTTGTTCATGGCGTTTCGTATGCCATAATCGTAAGAATTAGATTGTTGAATAACGTATGTGTTTTTATAAATTCAAATTTGGGTGCTTTTGAACACGCGTTTCTTTGAAATACTAATCGTCGTTGAGATATTATCGATTTATTTAAAAAGACGTAGAAGTATCACCTTCTGATACCATTTGCGGTATTGATTGTTCGAATAAAGCCACAACTAGAAACCATAACGTATTGCAACTGCTTAGGGCAAAAGTGGATGTTTCTGGGATAGAATGGTGGCTAGTTGGAAACAGTCAACTCCCGTTATCGCCTCCCATGGCGCAGCCGTGACCAGCGTCAGCGCACCACGTGCCATCGTCGGCTACGTGGCCACCTTCGCTGCCATCTGCACAACGGCCATCTTGGGGGTGTCTGTCGGTTTGTCCCTCTACGCCAATCGTCACTGGAAATTCTCGAGGTTCACGAAGCATCTCCCGTGCTGCCAACGCATTACGGCGTTTTTGCGCTATGATACAAACCACCACCATACCTCCTGGATTCCGTTTTTGTTTCTCCATCTGCTCCTGGGAGTCGTGTGTTTGTTGGGCTTTCTTGTGTTCTGGCTAATCTTATGCGCTCTGCCGGTTGTCACAGTAGCGGGATTTCTTGTCGCGGTCATCGTGCGCACTGCGGGTGAGGGAGCCGCTTTCCCGAGCTGTGTACTGCTGGTGGTTCTTCTGGGAGTGCATTGCATCGGTCGCATATGGGGAGTGTGGATGACGGAATGCTATTCGGTGTGGATCATAAACAAATGCAGGTAACGACTCACAGTAATTCAGGACTTCATTCCTTTCTCACCACATATCCCATTTTGTTTGCTCAGTAACAATGGCCAAGTGATTCGACGTTTATGTGAAGTATACGCATATGACGCGCAGAAATTATTTTCGGAGTACAGATAAAAAAACCAAATCTGTTATGTAACCGAAATTAACGGCGGCTTCAACATAATATTTTGGTCAGATGGCCTTTTGATTGGGCGGTCCAACAGAAATGGAATAATATTTTAAATTATACTGTTTTTCTACGCATTACAAGCAGTTATTACAATGCTGACTGCGATACTGCAACTACTGGATTATGCCCTGTATTTCTAACGTGTGACCTTATTTGTTGGTAGATCACTGTACAGGCGATTATTTGGAGTCGGGCAGCAGCCTAAGCCATTAATACAAGATGATCAGCCGAATGCCGGACAAATAAAGGATGACGCAGCAAGAAATGGTAGAAAAGGGCGAAACGGTCGTTCGTTCCTGTATAGCACGATAACATTCTTTGTGGCCTGCTTCGTCGTCTCCGCTAATATCGGGGAACCGCTGTTAATGCGTTTTCCCCAGGTGAACCACCTACTCAGCACTCCGATGCGTGCCGATGCTCCCTGGGCCTGGGATTACTGGGTTCGGGTCATGAGCCATGAGTCCTGTGTGCCCACTCCGACAACGGTAAGCAACGATCGACAGATGCTGTATGTCTCTTGTCATGCTTCATGCAAATTCGTTTTGCATGCTTTTGATAGCTGTAAAATAAAATTCGGAATATGCTAAACGTGATATTCTGTTTTGGAAGAAATTCACTACAAATTTACAAAACCATATAAAAAAAACCGAACGCAGAGCACCCAACAAGAGCCTCCGAAGTGCTGTTATTTCAGGGATTTTCCCAAAGCACGGCCATGTTATCGTACTGGGCGGATCTGGTTTACGATCAACTGTCGATCTCCAATGCAAGTACCGCGGCACCTCTCACCAGCTCTGCCCCTTTATTGCCGTCAGCGGTGGAATGGTTTTTTCTGGTGTGGTGCAGCTTTCTGCTTCTGATCAGTGGCGCACCGCTTCTTTTAGCGGGAGCGCTGACGGTTACCGGCATTGGTGGAGCCGTGGTGGTTTGTGTTGTCCTCATCATCGTAGCGCTGCTTATGCTACTTGTGATTTTCATCGTGGATTGTGTAGCGGAGATGCTTACAGACTGTACTTCATGGAGCGAAGGAAAACAGTGGGAGCGGTTAGTAAACAGAAAATACAATACATGGTTTAGGTTAAGGCATGATGAAATGTTGCTTCATCGGGAATAATTACAGTCTCCCCTACGCCATCGTCTTCATTGCGCAGTGCAGCAAATGCCATCCGTCCGATTCGAAGAGTTTCCGCGATATTTGTAATGAATCCGGTGCTGGCGCTGATTGCGTTTGCCTGGGTTGTGGAGCAGATTTTATCTGGGAAACGCATGGGTACGGCATGGATAGGCTCGTCCTTATGATCGCACTCTATCGTACTGTAAGTAATCTTTATTAAATCTAACATTTACATGTGTAATAATTTATTAACCAACTGAGTAAAGTATCGCAGTGTAGGTAAAATGCCGTATAAAAAAAATGGAGATGCTTCGTTTTCTGGCATATTGCGCAGACAAGCGTTGGTCTGTTTGATCAAATCAAGTGCTGCCGGTTTCTGCGTCTTGCGTGTATTCCTTTTGCATATTTCTACTGTTCAAAACTTTTTTAAATGATTATTTGACTGCAAACTGAACTATCCGGCTTCAATTTGTTTAGTCATTTATTTTACAAAACAACAGGTGCATATCTTTATTGTTAGGCAAACAGTACAGGGACGCGTACAAACGTCGCATGAAGAGCAACTCCGGTCCCCAACAGTCCTTGCCGCCGCCAACCGAAGCTACGAATGCAATGCTGACCATGAGCAAGACAGATAAACATCAGACTACGCTGACCATGAATAGCGGTATACAGGATTTTCAGCCGCCATTTTGCGTGTGTTCGCTGTGGGCCACCGTACACTACACCATCGTCACGCTGCTGCGTCAGATGATCAGCTGGTTGATCATGCCCTACTCGGTGGTAGGGTTCTTTCTACCGGAACGTGTACAGCTGCCCGGTCTGCTGCTGCTGCTGACGGTTTACATCCTGTGGAACTACCGGTACTTCATCTGTGTGTTACGTGTAATGCTTAAAGAAAGGCGGGCTAGTAAAGCCGCTGAAAAACAAGACGAAGAGAAGGAGCTGGTAGCGGACAAAAAGAAGAAAAATGGAAAAATGCCGGGTGCACTAATAATGTTGTGAAACAGATGGACTAACACCGCGCGCCGGCTTTACCGGTGGGATTCCGGCTGGTTGTTAGCGGCGTAACCCGGGAACACGTTAATTTCCATATGCGCCCTGTGCTGCCGTCCAAAACTCCGCAGCCGGTTTTGGGTGAACCTAGAACATGCGCTGCTGTCGCAAAATAATGGATTTCAGCTAACTATTTCGCTGCAAGCTTTCGCATCCTTAAAATCTCAGCGAAGCAGCTGGATTTTCTCTTCATTCTTTAAAATAGCATTCATAGCTTTCTGAAAGTTTACGGTTAGTGTATGGTAAAATTTGAAGTTGCCCAGCTGGTGTACATATGTATGTGTTGCGTGACTCTTAAGTAATTATGAATTATTATTATAATCATTTGTGTACTTTGCCCTCTGTGCTTGCATAAACGTTTTCTGTCCCAAAAAACTTCAACCGTTCCTATAATCCATTATTCCTAGAGCATCGCCTAAAACAAGAAGAGCCGTTTTATAGCGAAAACACATTTTAAAAGCACCGAAAACATAGGCAGTTTAATTAGGTTTTTTATGAGGATTCTCTTCCCCTTTAAACATGGGTGAGCGCTGTTTCATATTCTTCTGTGTGCATGGAAATGCTTCCGTAGCTAAAACTGAACGGGAACCCAGAAAATAAGAAGAAAAAAACCGGCTCAAATTGTGTAAAAACTCAACATGATCACAGAAGAAGCCCGACGGCCGTTTTCTGCTACATGAGAACAGGATGCAGGTGATGCGGAACAAGCGCTTCCCCATCCTCGCCAATGACGCACTTCGATGTGTGCAAATGAAGTACGGATTGCATACTCGTATTAGTCGTATAGTGTCTGTACGAATCGGCTTTGTCAATACAGTTTCAGTATTGATCTGGCCCGACAGCTGCTGTAGCCGCATTTGTCTTTCCGAGAGAGCATTAATTTTCTTGCCTGGGTATCCCGTTACTGTATTACAAGCAAGCTGCAAACAGGATGCAGTGTAACCGGCAGGCGTCAGTCACAAGCCGCATTCAAACACTACGCATGCCCAGCAAATCGCGAACCAAGCTTTAATCTAGAATAGACCCATGTGCTAACGGTAATTTTGGGAAGTTTCTTCGCGCTATAACTGCTTTGGCCAACATGGCAAAATATCGGAAAACATTAAGACAACGCCTCGATAAGAATCGCTCGTGGGCTTATCAAGAAATTGTGATAGAAGCTCTGGTTGTCCTGTGGATTGCCTGTGAAATTTCAGTTAAACTGGGGACGTGCATTTACACGGAGTGGCAAGCAACCCGTGTCGATCCCAGCAAGTTCTCGTTATCGGGCTTGAGTTTGCTGTACTTCGTACATGTGAGTATGATTATCATATTGATAATTCTCATTCATATAGCTTAGTGTTGGGTTTTGCTGTGATAATTCATATAGCTTAGCTTAGTGTCGGGTTTTGCTGTGATAATTTGCTGATGTTACTGCTCATCTGACGCGGATGCTGATTCGAAAAAATCTCCGAAGTGCGAATCTATAAATACAGAATCTGTACCTAGCGCTTGTAATATAGCGCTTAAGTAATCAAGTATGGCAATAAATGCTATCGTTTAGGGAGAAAATGGATGCTTCTGGGACAGAATGGTGTCTGCGTGGAAGCAGTCCGCTCCCATAACCACTTCGCCTGCTGAGACTGCAGGCGTACGCCACCAGCACAACACGTGCCGCTGTTGCCTACGTGGCAACCTTCGCTACTATCTGCACAACGGCCACCTTAGGTGTGTCCGTCGGCTTGTATCTCTTCGTCAACCGTCACTGGCAATTCCCGCGATTCACCCAGCATCTGCCGTACTGCCACCGCATCACAGCGTTATTCCGTTACGACCGGAACCGGCAAGATTACGGGGCACCTTATAAAGACCCTAACGCTTCACGAATCGTCTTTTTGCTGCTCCATTCAATCTTGTTCGGTGCCAATTATTCCTGCTTTGTCTGGGTGTGGCTGATCGTCTGCGCTCTGCCGGTGGTTTTAGTATCGCGCGTGTTGGTGCTGGTCCTCGTTAACAAATTGGGTGAAGAAGCAACGTTCCCATTCTGGGCACTGTTCGTTTGTCTGCTGAGTGTTCACTGTATCGGCCGCATCTGGGGCGTCTGGATGACGGAATGCTACTCGACATGGATAAAAAATAAGATTCGGTACGTATTAGAAGAAATTTTTCAAGATTTTTTCTGGAGAATGTTTTTCAGAAAAATTTCTTTATAAAAACTATCTTGAAGCTGTTGTTAAACTTAAGATAGCCGTAACCAGATAGCTGCCGGTGAGCGTGTGTGTAGGATTTTGAGCGTTTTATTTGATAACTGTCTCTGCCGGCTGTTCTTTTCGTAGAACTTTGCGCAAAAAGAAACTGAGGGTATCCAGCTCTAGTAACGCTCCGCTGCTGGTCAGTTTTGCAGCGTCGTATTCGCCGGCGGTGGATTGGTTCTTTCTGGTGTGGAGCGGAATGCTGGTGCTACTCAGCGGCGCACCACCTTTGCTGACGGTTACTGTGGAAGCCGTCATCATCGGCGGACTGATAGCCATTGATCTGCTCGGTATCGCTGCAGGCCTGGTATTCGGCATTCTGCTAATCATCTACCGGGCTGGGATGGCCGCTGTCGACCGTGTCCGGTATGGGAGAAGAAGCAAATGCCGATGGTATGCAAACAGGGCAATAATGTCGTAGGTACCGAGAACAAAAATGTACAAGCCGAATTTGAAATGGGTTGCCTCAAGGAACGGGTACAGTCTGTACTGCGCAATAAGCGCGGCGTTGCCGCTTAAAGTGAAAGCCTCTACGCTACAATTGTTGTCAAAATGGCAAAATTAAGAACAATTTCAGCATCACAAAAGAATTAAATATTGTAATTTGGTACAAAAGAATAATCACATGAATATGACTAAATTAGTATTTGCCGTGTTCAAAGTACACAGATTTTACTGTATTAACTTTTCCAAATACCTGAATCGTCAAGAACGCGTGGCGAGGCGCTCCATGGTATTGCATTTAGGGTATCTCGTAAATTTGTACTCTTTGCTGCTTCTTTACGCAGCCATTTGTAAATCCGGCTTGTACCATGCATCGGCAGTTAAAATATAACGCGCAGAGTTGACAGACATCTTTGAAATACGGCATGCTATTAGCATCAGTTGTGCCCTAACGATGAAATCATTCGCTTTTTGCCGAAAACGGCAACCTTAAGTAAACATTACGTCATTCCAATAGTCTGGAAATACTTTTAAAGGCCAATTGTTTTGAAGCAACAGCAAAATTTAAAACCTATGAGATTGTTAAAGGCTTTCGAGCACAAATGTCTACGGAAACGAATCTCTGAAACGTATCTAGCAAACATTTTTACGGTTGCTGCCACCTTGCGCATTTCAAAACAGTTTCCGTTTTCCAGCGTAGTACATCTATACTCGTAATGCAATATTGTTCCAGTACTAATACTGCTGCAATATTGTTCCAACATTGTTGCTGCAATGTTGTTGTTGTTCCAATACTGTTGCTGCAGTGTTGTTCCAATATTGTTGCAATATTCGTACTGCAAATGTTGTTCGTATGCGTTTGGATTTTGTGGCAATGATTTCACGGCAGATCCAAACAGAACAGATGCAAACAGATCCTCGCACCAGTTGTTGAAGATTTCTTCGAGTGTGGCAGTTCAAGACAAAGTTGAAGATAGTAACGAAAAGCAGCTGGGCAGCACCAATCATGTTTGAAAAGCGGGTTTTAAAATGTGTGATGGTATTGCAATGTATTGACGTTTTACAGTAACGGCCACTGGTTTGATCCTGAAGCGGACGATCTGAGACGGGCCATAGGTGATCCCGGTCAGCTTGATCATATTTGCTTCGAATGCGGGGAAGAATACTATTACGGTGCAACCGTAGATGACATTGAAGTAGCGGAGGCAGACGGCAGCAATCCCACTGACAGCGTTGAGGGCTCACAGTTATCCATCACAGATAATACGCTAGCGAATCTTCCCGCGTCAGAGGAAAAAACTGATGAACAGCAAATTAGCCGCACTGGTCAGCAGGCGGCGCTGATGGAATTTGTATTGGTAGATATGAAAGCTGCACGTACAGCGATTGATTGTGCCAGGAAAAGCGCCTGCCGGCCGTTCTGCGTGTGCTCATTGTGGGCGTCTCTCCAGTGCGCCGGCATTATCATTTTACGACAGTTTCTATGCTGGCAGAGTATGCCCTTCACCGTGGTGGCATTCTTTCTGCCGGAACGCGTTCAGCTACCTGGTGTGCTGCTACTGCTAACGGTGTACATGCTGTGGAGGTACTGGGAGTTCATCAGCTTAGTACGGCGGAATTTGAAAGAGGAGAAAGCTGACGAAGCCGCGGAAAAACGTGCAAGCAATGAGAAGAGCGAATACAAAACGAAAAGCGAAAACGAGAATCTGACGCTGAACTCGCGGGATTCCGCATCATTTTGAAGCTCGCTTGCCCCGTTGGCCCACAGGTCCCGGCGTAAAGAGCGATTTCAGCGGAATATAGTCTCATTTTCTCATTACGATGTATTTCCGCCTCTGTCCTGAAACCTGTTTGCTTTCGCTTGTACGCTCACTGATACTACGCCGCGCTAATGCCTGCGTACCTTGTATTAGATAGCTTCAGATACGTATTTTCTCTTAATGCCGGACAAACACCCCCATATTACAAAATCGCAATATTTGGTATTAACCATTACGTTATATTAAAAAATACAATGGTATTGTTGTAAAGTTTTCACTTGGCCCATTAATCGAATTCAAAATAATATCCATTTCATATTATGTGTTCGCGTAAAGAAATTTGAATTTTCAGTGCTTACCTAACTGCAAGCGCGGGAAATTCGTGTTCCAGACTTCCAGTAGACGTCGTATGGAACACGAGTAATAAGAACATTTTAGCTGGTTTCTTTTGTGAGCTAGATTAAAGCGGCGGCTTGAATTAGGGATTGCTAGACGACACTTTATCAAGCAAAACAGTCTGCTAGGAAAAGATTTGTACAGCGAGTGCACTTCGATCATATGTATAACTTAAAAATCCCTATCGACTATCGACCATACAGCTCATCATAAATTTTACCATCATTATGTAAATGTACGCGCGGGTAAAAACTTAGAACCGAACATTGGATGAGAAATCGTGATGGCACCGGCTTACTGCAAAAACAGGAACACTGCAAGGCGAGTTTTTACTGGACCGTGAAACAGGCTCATTGAGCAATATACAGAAGGGAAACTGGCTGAGTAATGTGCTAGTGCGCTGACATTTCGCGAATGACGTCCGAACTGCATGCGGGTGCACGTTAATGTAAATCTGTCCGTATTGATCTGCCTCATTGTGCGTGCAGCAGTGATTTAATTCCCAGAGCAGATTTTCATACCTGGTTATCCCGATGTTTTGCAATCACATTGAAATGCTCCCGGGAGGCATCAGTCACAAGCTACCATCAGTGTCGCTGCATCAATACGCTACAACAACGCTATAAATCATGACCCGGCTCTAGTCTAGTATAGATCGATGTGATAACTGCAAGTTTAAAAAGGTTCATCGCGCTATAACCGCGTTGGTTAAAATGAGGAAATATCGTAGAACTCTTAGACAACGTCTGGATAATAACCGCAAATGGGCATATCAGGAAATTATGGTGGAAGCCCTGGTTGTTCTGTGGATTGCTTGCGAAATCTCTGCCAAGTTGGGTACCCGAATCTATCCGCAATGGCGAACAACACGCGTTGATCCTAGCAGAATGTCGGAAACGGGAAAGAATCTTCTGCGTCTCGTTAATGTGAGCATAAACAATAAATATGTCGATATTTTTATTCACAAAGATGACATTCACCCATGCTTTAAATTTTTTATAGTTATCTGGAAATCTAATTCAAATCTTGCTAATTCGTAACACGCCAGTACAGTGTTACGAATTAGAATAGGTAAAATGACATAGCGGAAAATTTTGCTGGTTGTTATTGTTCAGGGAGAAAATGGATGCGTCTGGGACAGCATGGTTTCTACCTGGAAACAGTCCGCTCCCATAACAACCGCATCTGATGAGACCACAGGCGTCGTCACCAGTACAACTCGTGCTGTTGTCGGCTACGTGGCAACCTTCGCTGCTATCTGCACAACGGCTATCTTGGGTGTGTCCGTCGGGCTGTCCCTCTTCGTCAACCGTCACTGGCGATTCCCGCGATTCACCCAGCATCTCCCGTGCTGCCAGCGCATCACAGCGTTCTTCGGCTACGACAAGAACCGGCAAGACTACTGGGCCGATTATAAAGACCCAAACGTTCCGCGGATTGTCTTTTTACTGCTCCACTTAGTCCTGTTGGGAGCCAATTTTGCCTGCTTTGTCTGGGTGTGGCTGGCTGTATGCGCTCTGCCTGTAGTTTCGGTATCGCGAATGCTGGTACTGGTCACCATTAACAACCTGGGAGAGGAAGCGACGTTCCCGTGTTGGGTGCTGTTCGTATGCGTTCTGAGTGTTCACTGTACCGGACGAATCTGGGGAGTCTGGATGCCGGAATGCTATTCGACACGGATACGAAATGAAACCCGGTAAGTACTAATGGAAGGTCCAGCGCAAAGACTCGATAGCATGTTTGCGCTTTTTTCGCAATGACATTCGGTAGAAATATCGACAAACATATATCCCAAAGTTGCTTGGTCTTTTGTTAAGTTGAGAATAGTACAATTGGCTACCATATAGCTGTTACTGCATAAAGTGTATTTTATCGACGGACTGATTACTTTCCCTTTTTTGGACGTCTGGTGTAATCTTCTTTGTAGCGCGTTCAGCAAAGACAAGCTTCAGAGCGATTTTCGCACGAAACAGTCCATGCCTCACAGGCTGTTGGGAGCCATGCAGACGACAAACGACATGCCACGAAAGGAGAAGCGAGCACGGCGTGGATGTTTCCTTTCCTACACTGCTTTCGTGGTCGCTTTGGCCTGCAGCGCTGTTATCAGCAATACGCCCAGTCCGCAGTTCGCGTTGCCTGACGACATTTTTAGCACACTAATCAATAGCACCACCCTACACGCTCCGGCTGCTAACTGGACCAATGGGACACTAATGGGACACAATGACACAGAGTCCTGTCTACCCAGTCCGAAAACGGTACAAATTTTTGACTAGAGAAGCAAAAGTCTGTTAGGAAATGGTTTTTCAATCACGTTATGAACCGCAGACTGCAGAGTTTTCTTAGTACCGTACACGATATACATACATGGCCTTCATACATACGAGCAGTTAAGATGCTTTGACAAAAATAAAAGATTTAGTAACTGATTTGGTTAAATGTATGTACGGTGATATCGCTAAAACGATATTTGAACCGAAATTAATATAGGTATCTTAAAGGATATATTCTGCATGATACGACATTGCTATGGTGACATTGCCACGGTTGAGATTTAAGAATGAAAAGCAGCTAGAATGGTCTTGATAAATGGGCAAATTATTGCAGCGCTTTACGGAGACCCAAGCAATGCTATCGTACTGGGTAAATTTCACCTATGATGGACAGAACACATCGAACGCTAGTATTAACACTGAGCTGTTGGCTAGTTTTTCACCGTCATTTTCGCCGGTGGTGGAGTGGCTCTTTATGTTATGGTGCTTCTTGTTACTGCTAATTAGCGGCATGCCACCCATACTGTTGGGTTTACTGGAAGTAATAGTCTTAGGCGGACTCATCGCCATCGGACTGATTGGTGTCACCGTAGTCCTGGCAATCGTCGTGTGGCGCTATGTCTCTCGATTTCTGGTGGCCGTTTTTTACCGCGTCTGGTACGGAAAAAGCCGAAGCAAGTGCCGACGGTATGAATGCAATATTTCTGGGTTGTTGCAAGAATCTTTGGGCGTATCTATAACCGGTACATAATGTAAGACAAACCTATGAATTTTTCTGCTCACCGTGACTCAGTTGTCTGGAAAGCGCGCTGTACTGTATGATTTTGGTACAATGCATTGGCCGTTTGCAGTTACGGCCATTGGTTCGACTTTGAGGCAGACCATTTAAGGCGGGCTAGCGGTGCACCCGACCAGCCTGATTATATTTGCAAGGAGTGCGGAGAAGAATTTTTCCATGTCGGAATCACAGGCTGCTGTAACGAAGCTACGGGTAGCGACGATCGTGTCTCTTCTGGCGTTGTAGACTCCCAGTTATCAATCACCGACACGACGGGAACGAATCATCCGGCGTCACAGTGCGATGCTGACGAACAGCAGAGCAATATCACTGCCGAGCGGATGGTGCTGGAGGCGTCGAAGGATCGTACATCGAAAAAGGGTGCAGCTGCTTTTACTGCGATTGATTGTACCGCGATGAGCGCTTGCCCGCCGTTCTGCGTTTGCTCGACGTGGGCGTCCCTTCAATGCGCCGCCATCAGCCTGACACGACAGATGTTATGCTGGCTCTGTCTGCCCTTTCCCATTGTGGGATTCTTCTTGCCGGAGCGGCTGCAGCTGCCTGGTTTACTGCTATTGCTGACGGCCTACATGCTGTGGAATTATTGGGAGTTGATCAGCGTTTTGTGGTGGAATTCGAGAGAAGAGAAGGCTGATGAAGCCGCGGAGAAACGTGCAAACGGTGGGAATCAGGAGAAAAAGGAGAAAGGTGATGTCAGGAAGAAATGCGCGGGATCCTGGCTCGTTATGAAAGATCGCACTGGGCGCTACTGTGAAGGCCCTTGTATGAAGTTTTCAGCAAGCTAAAGAAATCGTCTCGATACGCAGTTTTCTTGGCATACTTACCTTCGGCTTTGCTCTCCGTGATGTCTGGCATGTTGCCCTGACATGCCCACCTGTGACCGTGCTGAAGTTTACGTTATGCGCTAGCGTTGCGGCGGGCTGCTGATGCCGAACACCTGCGTGATTCGTAAATCGACCGCTTCACAATTTCACTTGCAGTATCTGTACTAAGTACTTAGCTGGTGTCTGCAAATTGCTTTTCTTCTTTATATACAGAAATAACCAACGTTAAGTTTTTAGATAGTTAATTTAAGTCCGATTAAAACAATTTTATAAACAACATTCGTTGCGGTATTCGTGTTTCCATTAAGCTTGCATACGTTTGAATTCGTTAATACTCATGATAAAAAAATAAACAGATTCTTATTTAAGAAGAGCTGAATCTAAAAATATTGTTAAACAAACTGAATGTTGAGGTCCAACGTTGCGTTTTAACGTTTTATCTGTGCGTACGTTGCCATATCTCAGCAACCGGAAGTTTCGCAGGCATCAGTTTTCAAGAGGCCAGTGTAAACGAATCGTTTGGTTCTCAGTACATAAAGCAGTACCCAGAAACGATTTTGGACCGTACAAAATGAAAGTAGTTGTGAATGTGCATGATTACTTTTCGTTCGGTCTGTAGCCAGTAAGCCAGGACAAAAAACCCCTTTAATACAAAGCACGAAGTTGAAGATACAGATTCTATCACACCGCTAACTGGCGCTGTGTTGGATAGCGTTTGCCGCATAGCAGATTAATATCTACATGTTCAGAAGATTTTCCGCATTTAGTCTATAAACTTGTAACTATACGTATTAATAGCAACGGGTAGGCGTACCGACGCACGCGCTCGGTTGGTGTTCCAGAAAACACTGCATTTGGGTGATTACATTTACCAGTACTGGGCCATTATTGATTATTACCGCATTTACCACAACAGCTTTGAATGTGCATGATCCGGCAGATTTTTTTCGCGTTTCTCACGATGACTGCGAGCGTCACTTGCCGGAATGGTGCTGCTGATCTGATTCTGTTGATCTGCTTCCGGAAATAACAACCATCAACTGGTAATGTAACCCAGTTTATGTGGAGCGACGCAAACCACACACTGCGCCGTTAGCATTGAATCGGGCGCATTAGATTGAGACATCATTGAGTTATCGTGTTTAGGTTCTCGATTAGATCCACTTGCTTTCTGCTTTGGAGGCGTCGTCTTGCGGATAGAATTTTAATTGTCCAGTTAATCGCTTCATAATTCGATCATGTTTAAGAAGAAGGTTCCGAAAACCTTACGCCACCGTCTCCAGAACCGTGACTGGGCGCATCAGGAGATTATAACGGAAGCCCTGGTTGTGCTGTTTATTGCCTGTCAGGTCTCTGTAAAGTTTGGTAATCGGGTCTTTCCCGAGTGGGGCAACAGCCGCGTCGACCCGGATGCAAAGAGCCGTCTAGATTGGCTTCTGGAAAACTTTGGATATGTAAGTATTTGTCGCGTTAGCTGGGGCTTCCAGTAAACTTCAAAAACGTGTGAAAAATTATTTAAATATTTCGGGAAAGATATTAACAGGGTAACTGACGTCGAAGTTCGAAAGTTCTTTAAACTTCGAAGGTCCGTAAACATTTGGCTTTATCAGCAAGAAAAATACTCAAAGTAATTGTCTCCGCTAAACATTTTTACCCCCGTATATGTGAATACCTTCGATTTTAAGAATGTTTGTTCAGATCAAAGTAATGCTTGAAATGCAATTACTGACTTTATCGGTAGTTTATATTTGTAATTACTGACAAACGTGAAGTTAGCAGCCGCTGTTCAATTCACCGCACTTCAGAGGGCTGGTAATGTCCAGTGCTTCTACTAAGAACCATGCAGCAGAAGCGGTTCTATTAAATGTGAGGAATTTGGAAGTATCGATAACAAAATGATTGAAAAGTTTATTACGTAAGAAATAAATAAATGAACATTCAACGCACTGCGCGATAATTACTGTATGAATGCAAACTTGTTATGCGATTAATTAGGAAATGGACGGTTGCATTTGGGATAGTATCATGGCTCCCTGGACATCACCCAAGGGTCTCATAATCTTGGACACTCCTTCCACTTCCTCATCGCCCAACCAACTGAAAGCTATTTTTGCCTATGTTGCCACCTTCGCCACGGTATGTGTCACGGCCATCTTGGGTATGTCGCTGGGTTGTTCGCTCTTCATCAACCGACGCTGGCAAGCACCCACATGGCAGTACCATCTCCGCTGCTGTGGACATATCACGGCGTTCTTCTGCTACAACAAGAACAGCCGGGGGTATTTCGAAAACATTGTAGAACCTCAGGCATCGCGATGGCTTTTTGTTGGCTTGCACCTGGTCCTGCTAGCTGCCAACTTTATGTGTTTCATTTGGGTGTGGCTCGTTCTCTGCGCGCTGCCGGTGGTTAGTATTGCGGCGTTAGTTTTCTTTGCGGTAGCACAAATAGTGGGCGAAGGCGCTGTTTTTCCCTGCTGCGTGATTCTGGTGATCTTGCTGGCCTTGCACTGCACCGGAAGGATTTGGGGATTATGGATGACTGGATGTTATCTGGCATGGGTAAATAAGAAAATCAGGTCAGTTAATTGTTGAAGTTCAATGTTTCTAATGGTAAAGTTAAATTGTATTGTGCATTTTTTACTTTTTTGAGGCGTTACTGCGGCATGGAACTGTTTACGAAAACCCCGATTCCGGACTGTCTACCGGACACTATGGAGCGAAATCCAGATGCCCCGATTGACGAAATATGGAAGCGTCGCCTGCTTGCTTGCTTTGTTAGCACGTTGATGCTGACCTATGGCTGTACGGCAGTGCAGAACAATGCCGATTTGCTGCTAGCGAAATTCCCACAGGCGAATTACGTGTTGAGCGCCTTCAGTGGCTCCGATTCTGGCAACTGGAGCTATTGGACACTGGTCAACTGCACCGGGTGCTGCACGAATGGGGGATCGGTACGTGAGTATCAACTGCTCTGGCAATCATATTTGGCTCTCTTAATTTGTTTACATTCTCCACAACTACATACGGTATTTAACGTTTCTCTCTTTTTATTTAATTTATGTTTTTACGGCACCACGATCGTAACGCTTCTCCGACGTAATTAAGATGAATTTCAACCTTTTACGGATGCAATAAAAATAAAAAATGACTTTTGACAACGACCTTATTACAGATGACCTTTACGTTCTCTATAAGGTAATATAGTCTTTGTTTGCAGGGACTGAGTCAAAGCGGAGCCATGCTTTCGTACTGGACAGATTTGGCGTACGATCAGTTGCACGCTAATTCCAGTAACGCCGCGCTGCTGGCGGGGTTCGCACCCTCCCTCTCGCCCGTCGTGGGCTGGGTTTTTATGGCCTGGACCGGACTGGTGGCGTTCCTTGGCGCTTTACCGTTGACGCTGATTTGGATCGTCGACATCGTAGGGTTCTCTGGGATCGCATTGTTTTTTATCGTTTACCTGTGCTACAAGTGCTGCTTTGCCTCGCGACACTCCCGTGGTACAACTGAGAATCGTCACACATCAACCGGCCGGTAACGCATCTATTGGGTAGAAATCATAAGCGCAGCAGAATAAATAAAATAAAAAAAAGTCTTATCTGCACAACTGGCGGAAAATCCTAGATTAATAACGGTTTCCTGTCTTAGCGCTGTTCAACCGCATTTCGATGGAGCCCTGGTGAACAATGACGTGGAAGCCAACGAACGCAAGGAGCCGCTGGCAGCGGAATCATCGTCTCTGCATTCCACGTCCAACAAACCCTTTGCGTCTGCTCCATGTGGGCCAATTTTCAGTGCGTCAACTTGACCATGCACCTGCGCCTTTTCGGCTGGACGAGGCTCCCGTTTCCGGTGGTGGGTTTCTTCCTTCCCGAACGGCTGCAACTACCGGGTATCCTGCTGCTCTTGTCCCTCTTCATGTTGTGGATCTACCGGGAGTTCCTGCGCGAAGTAGTGGCGTTGTACCGCGAACAGCGCGGCAATACTCAGCCGGAACGAGCACAGTGTTGCTGCTGTGGAAAGAAACTGGACGACAACGAGGCTAAAACGGCGGGTTTCCACCGTGCAGTGTGAAAAGGCTGTAGGTGTTCAGGAAAGGGGACATGTTTATCATGGTTACCCCACCGGCGTAATTTTGATTCGGCCGACTTTGGATCCCTTCAGCTTCTCCTTGCTGCACATAACAAAGCTAAAAAATTACTGGAACTATACGCGCTACTCCACGTTTCGTTATCACGCGCTCGTTATTAGCCAGGCTTCGTGAACGTATTGGTCATTTCTTTTTGAGAAGCCTCGATTCTAATCTTAAGTTTATTCACTGTGCACTCTTCGCCTAATTTTTTTACCAGTTCCCGTTTCACATTTTCCGAAGACGGCGTTATTTTTCTTGAGGTCCTTAAAACTTCAATGTTGTACATTTGTAACTGACTATCACATACTTCAAATGTTTTCCTTGAATATGCGACGCTTCATTTTTTCGCGTTTGCTGCATCGGAACTCGGAATTACAGTACCATATTTGATATTTCTTACAGAGACTCCCTGTACAACAAATGTTACGTGAAGATAAACAAAAAGTTGTTTTTCTCATTATGGTGTTAACCGTGATAACAACGCGAAATTCTAGAATGCTTGGTATGCATACCGTTCATGCCCTGGCACGCTTTTGATGTGGAAGTTTGTGATGTCTGGTACTGAACGCCAGCGGTCTTGATTTACTGTTCCAGTTTTTTGGCTAGTTGCACTACTTTCAAGTTGATTCTATCATATAAAGTTGCGCTATCAGTTTTTGTTATGGAATCGCGAAACTGAAATTTACCTCTACTACAGATACAGTTGTATGTACAAATATGTTGCAGAATGTCCGGAGAATGGTACTGTTTATTAATTTTGTTTGACATACTCTGTACGACAATGGGGACGATAACTCCAAACTTTAAGCTACTGTATCTGTATCTACTGTACTTCAACTTTAATGTGATTGTACCCAAACAAAAGTAGTCAGGTTTTAGACGATAGCACCGACTATCTCTTGGTACAATGTTTTTCTACATCTTGGTTCTGCATACAGTCTTTGTGTTGAACAAGTTCTAGTCATTTTTATGCTTGGTATAAGTAATATATTAATGTGTTCACAAATTATTCGTAAATTTTAAATCTCATGCTACGCCCTGTTATGTCGGTTTCCAGTTATCGTCCTGCTTTATTGTATTCTACTTTAAACATGCTGCTCGCAAGTTAGTATTATGAGCTAGCAAAGCATTTCATGAGCGTGTTATGAGCATTTCGTAGTAAAGTCAAAGTTTAAAAAATCGGTTTCGTCCTTCTGTATCTTTATGGTTTTGAGCGCATTGAAGATTGTAGCGATATTGGCGGCAGTTGTAATTTTCGTGCCAACATTGCCGACGAATTGACATAGCAACGCGCCAACGCTTATATAATTTTAATTTAGCAATAGCCACCCAGATAAAAAAAATCGCAAGCGGCGGCACGCTATTTGAAAGTTAAAATTTAAAGATTAAAAAAACAACCAAAGCCTCTATCTTCTCTCGGGTTAAAACGTAGTGTACCGGCGGCCCGTAACATTTCCTCTCACAACAGCTAGAATAAAACGCTAGACTAAGTACTCGCACTTATACGATTAGGGCACCTGCCATGCGACTTTTCCAGTTATCCATGGGAAAGGCTTTGCGTGCTGATCAAAAACAAAAAGAGAAGGGAAAACGGACGGCTGACTCAAGATTATCATTGCGAGTATTAATGTAATAATTTATTTCTAACAAAAACTAATAATAATAACTAGTGGTGGTTGTTAACCACATCATTGCACCGAGCGCGAGCGCCGGTCCGCTGGGAATGTTAAACTATGAATCGACATGGCGCACCGCAAACCCAGTTCTGATGGCGCTCTTCGGGGATTGTGTAGCCAGCGTACATGTAATATAAGCTCGCTGGTGCAAGTTTTGCGCTGGCGTGTTCCAGTCTATTGTTACGATCCCGTGATCTACTGTCAATCTGGGAAACTACATTCAGTAAAACACTACAGAATACTACATTTAGGAAAACATTCAAAAAAGATTTCGCTGTAGATAAAACAAATGGTTTTTATCGAAATTCTGACCAGAAAATTTCTTGCTAAAGTATTAACGACACCAAGTATTATTGCGCGCTTCCAGTACCATTAGAAAACGATGTTAATGACATCCTTGAAACAGCGCGTACGCTATGAAATACCACTGCCAATGGAAATGAAAATTTGTAGAATTGGAAAAGCGTGACTGACACTTTTCGTGGGCGACAGACAAACTCTGCTACGGGAAGCGTATACTCTGCTATGGAATGCTATGAATGCGTTTATCGCTTGACGAAGGCATAGAGTAGCACCTCGCGCTTCGCGCTCGGTGCAGATTATGATACGTTTGTGGTAAAGTGTGTTATAACTTCACCGTTCTTTTGCGACTCCTACTTGAAAAAGCGCAGTTTGTCACAGTGTTCTTCTCTCCACATGCACTGATCTTTTTTGCATTGTTTATGGTAATACTGAAATCTAAAGAATGTTAGTGGAACCTGAAACATTACAAAAATTAAGACACGGTGGGTAATCAGGTTCACCGTTCACGTAGTAACTGGGCATCATTGTAAAACACAATCTTGAAGCTGATTCTACTGGACGATGATTACTCAGCATTTATCCGAACGTAAAGTCAGCATCAGCAACTGACTCCTGCGTTTTAAGACTGAGTAGAAATCATAATATTTTAATGGCTGCACACATTCGGTCCAGTCCATGAAATTTGCAGCGGTGGAGCTGTTATAGTTACGAGTTACCTACTCAGTACATTTACCGTTTTGCTTCTAATCATATCGTATTAAAAACATGGAAACCGCAAATGCCGGTCGCGTGGAATCTAGAGGGAAATCTCACCTACGTGTGGGTGCAGTAACCACATGACGACAACACGTTGCCTGCGTCGGAGGAGGCGGCGTTAGAACGGAGCGGAATCCACAAGATACCTGCCTTTCTTTCCGCTGCAGTCATCTTCGATTGATCGATCCGGTAAAAGAGCTCATCTCTACCCTTTTTCCCATAGATGAAATCTCTCTACTTTAGCCGCTTTTTGGCACTTTTACACTGTTTTTTAAGATTATTACACAGTTTAATTAGCTCATTCAATGGGTAAAGTAAGAAACACAATCGGATATTTTCTCGACCGCAACTGGGCCTGGGCGTACCAGGAGATCATAGCGGAAGCCCTGGTGGTACTCTGGTTCTCCTTGCACATAACGTTGAAGTTGGGCACGCGTGTTTTTCCGGAATGGCGGAACACCCGCATCGATCCCGACTCTCAGACCGATTTTGATAAACTACTGCGCCGGTTTGGATGGGTGAGTACTCGCCTGAGGAGGTTTCTGTCCATTAAGGCAAATGATGGCAAAGCACAAAACAAAATAATTAATAAAATTTTTATTTTAAATAAAAATTGTTAAATCAGTTTATCTTGTTAGCGTTTTTACGATACATAATATATTGTAATTATAAAAAAAGTATCTACCGGACATATAAACGATTTTGGAACACTCCCACAGTTCGACCCGTCATTTTTCGATACGTATTCATTGCACTCTCACGTATTCAACCAATTATTCATGCGTATTCTGCGCTTATCTACCTCCTCTATTCTCTCCGCATCCGGTAAATATCTCTTTGCAACACGCCTGCATTTCCGCGCATTGTACCAGTATTCCTGCGTGTTCTGTCTTTATTCCACCGGTATTTTGACCAAGGAAGAGTTGACAAAAACTAAAACACCGGAGGAATACGGAAAGTTACAGATACAGCCAGAACACGGAAGAATACCGGTGGAATGCGCGAGAACATTAGGAATACGTATCGAAAAATAATGGGTCGAGTTTTTCTAGTGGTACGAAACGAGCCATGGATGGATTTACATAAACGGTAGATGTTTTAAACTCATGTCTGCAACCGTAAGACTGTTGTGAGTATGTACTGCGATAGCATTACACTTAGCTGTTCAATAATAATCTCTGTATTGTTTTCGACAGAAAACAAATGGATGCGCGTGGGACGAGATCGCATCCGAATGGATGGTGTCTAGCCGCAAAAGCACCAACCAGAGCGATACTTTGCCCTTTACGGCGCCTAGCGGTATCGACATACGTGGTCATGTGGGCTATGTTGGCACTATCGCTGCTGTCTGCGCCACGGTCCTCCTTAGTATCTCCGTTGGCTGTTACTTGTTCGCCAACCGAAACTGGCGGTATCCGGTATGGACGCAGCATATCCACAAATGTGAGCAGATCCGGGCTTTCATCGTCCGTAGAATGAGCAGAGATTCATTGAAAAAGTCGAAACTAGTGAAGGGCTTATTTATAATCGGGTTCCTGGCATATCTGGTTATTGGTACAATTCTCATCTTTGCCTGCTTTTTCCTTTGGCTGGCGTTGTGGGCACTGCCGGTTATTTTGATGGCCGTCACTGCTGTGTGGTTGATTGTTCAAGCCGTGGGTCGTGAAGCCGTAGTTCCATGTTGTGTTCTGTCCATCTGCCTTTTGAGTATATACTGCACCGGGCGAATTTGGGGATGGTGGATGAAGGATACCTACTTCAGCTGCATTAACAACACATTCAGGTCCGCTTAATCAGCTGTAAAATCGGTTGGAACGTTCAATATGCGTTCTACAGAGTTAACCGGAACAGGTCGCATGTCTGATGGCGAATTGTCATATTGTGCACAGTGACGCAGCATGCATAGAAATACATTCTTGTTCAAAACTGTATGCTAGAAAAAACAGAAATCTGCAGCAACCCCGTAGTTTCAGCACCGCATATGTAGATGTATTTTAGCATATTATACTGCACTCGTAAACCAGAATACCACGAATGGTGGATCGCAAAAAGCAATCTCCGTGTATTTAGGCGAATATTTGCTCTGGGTTTGGTTTTGGAAGCCTCAGCGGTTAAACGTGTCCCGCTCCCAGCGGCATATATCGAAAATCAAGCCAAAACTCCGAAGGAACAGAAAGAAGAGCGGAAGGTGCTCAATATGCCCACTCTGAATTTCAAGTTGTGTGTGGTATTTACATGCTGCTTGGCTGTGACGGCGAATGTGGAACCAATCAGTGATGAAGTTCCCTCGGCTAATTCAAGCGTCCGTGCCTCGGAGTTCTGGGAACGGTATGCCTTCGGTTACAAGCGGTGCTATCCCAATTCTGGAACGGTAAGGAATCGTCGTTATGAGTACTCGTGCTCGTAGACCGTAGATTTTATATTACTGTAGCATACAAATCGGCTTTTTATCACTATGCATATTGTCTTTGGATTTGTCAGGGCCTAGAGTTCCCCCAAGCAATGCTATCACATTGGATGGATATAGGGTATCCGCGCTGGAATACCAGTAAACCTGCCCTGACGTCTCTGTTTGCTTCTACATTCTCTCCGGATATGTACATCTTTCTCCGTGCGTGGATCGCTGTACTGTTCCGCATCTTGTGGGCACCGTACCTTTGTTTGCTGATCTGGGGTATTCAGTGGTTGTACAAGCGCTGGCGCGCTCGTCGGATTCATAACAGGTTTGTAGCGCCCACAAACGTTAAATACTGACCTCGCTAACGCATAATATAAAACTCAAACCATATGGTGGACCCATAATGGTTTCGTTCTGCCGCAATCTTACTGGCAAAAGAGGTTTCAGGTATTTTGCCGCAGCTGCCACAATAAAGTGGACCATGCTTCTGAGATTTAAAAGAATTCTGATACTTCAGAGATTTTTTTAGATTTAATTTCTTAGTATTCTAAGAAATCCCAAGACTGTCAGAATTAAATTTTTGGGGTTTAACGCAAAATATTAGATTGTGCGAGTTAGTGATAATATAACTTGCATATGTAGAAATTGTAGATGTAGATGTGCGTGGCAAATTATAGCCGACCGGTTATTCAGACCCTTATCGCCAGACTGCGGCAAAATAGCCATAGTTATTTTTTTCAAGTAGCGTTATTGAATTTAGCGTTATTGATAATTTACCAACTGAGGATAGCCAAGAGCAATCCGAACAGTCACGGGAAACGGTCGGAGAAGATTGTCCTACTACGGTATCCCTCGTCGATGATGCACAGCCCGGCGATACCAGCATAACTATCACCATGGAAAACACGATAGACGAACCGGCGAACATCGTTCGGTGTTGCTGCCCAGTGTGGGCTAGTTTAGTGGCTATCCTGATAATTAATTACCGTCGATATCACTGCTGGGCCAATCTTCCCTATCCACTGGTGCAACTATTTGTCCCGGAACCGTTACAACTGTGGGCTTTGCTCTTGTTGCTTACCATCTATGGAATTTGGATGATCTGGAAGTTTGTTGTCGATGTGCGCCAGATTGGCCAGGAACAACAACCGCTGATTCCACCGCCCGGTCAAGACGATCAAAATCCTTGTTTCATATTCATGCGATCCTTCGACTGAGAGCATTCCTGCACCGAGAACGGAACGCTCTGCTGGAGATATATGGTCACCGTGCAAAATTTAGAACAAAAGATTAGCTGTTTCGTTTTACCGCATATATATACCGCACACAAGCTTTTCTCGGTCGAAACCGGTGCCAGCGCACTGAATGTATGCCTGTTGCACGCTGTTTATTGAATTATTTATCAAATTCTTGGACCGGGAACCGACTAGTTAATTTGCAATTCTTTGTCGTAAACTTCTACTCGTACTTTAGCGGCAAAATGGTGTATAATACCGGAATCAAATTTTAATAATCAGTTTCGTCGTTCGTTTTATCGGACCGGTTTATTAACACTGCTACAGTGATAATTACAGACAAAAGAGGCTTTGATTTGACAATTATGATTTTAACACCGGTGATTTTGATGCTTGTAAGCCGAAGGAAAATAATAATTGAATCTCATGTAGCGAATCTGAACAGGTTACCTATGGCTCGTTTCGATCGTACCACTCCAGAAAATCGACCCATCACTCTTCGCTACCGATTGCTGCGTATTCCTGGTATTATCGCGTATTACCCCGGTATTCGTTGGCTTTATTCGTTTTATGTTTTTATTCGGCATTTATTCGTTTTCTGCCTGTAATCTTCCTTATTCCTTCGGGATTTTAGTTTTTCTTACCACTGTTAGGGAAGAGCAAAAGCTTCCAGCCCTTTGAGCCGACCACTTTTTTGCCTAAGTTTGAAACATGGAACCCAATTGGATGCGCTGCATGTCTGCCAGAAAGGACATTTTGTAATTAGTGCGAGACTGCGAGTATCCAGCAATAGTATCCTCCTTTATTGAGAACGGTGAAGTGATTAGCTGCGCCTCAGGATCCGATAATGCAACCACAGCACGAAATGCGTCAAAAATACGGCATTAGCAACCTAAATCGATGCCTTCTGCGGACTGCAGTACCGTTTATCGCACTCTGTATTGCATTGCCGGTACTTAAAATAACTCAGTTTTTGAATTTGACAAGATATTCTGTACAGTATATGCCAGTGATATTTAAGTAAAGTTAGAAAGTTCAGTTCAGCGTCACGGAATTTATTTTCCTATAATTATTTGTAACGAAGGAATTTTCTATGCAGTCCAAAGGAACTTATTAAATAAACTACATTTCAGCGCAGTAACACTGGTGCATTGAACACACGCAACGGAAGTCTAACAACGTACACACAAACAACATGTGTTAATGCTAGCGCGACCTTTAGAAAGAAATGCAACATCGGCACCTATGCAACATCGGATAGTACTTTGTATTAGGAATAGTAAACTGCGATTGCAGGTCGACGAACAGAACCTAGAGGAAGATCTATTTCACGTGTGGGCGCAGCGTGCATGGGTAGTGGGTTTTGTGCGTCAATGAAGGTGGAGTTGGAACGGCGTTGAATACACGGGATGTTGTTTTCCCGCTGCAGTAAATTTCTGTTGATCGATGCGGCTCAGAGAGCTTTTACTTACCTGATACAAAATACCACTATATTCAAAGATTTTCTGGCACTTGTACAAACGTTTACCTGGATTGCTTCTCTACTTTTACTTGGCTAATGCAATGGGCAGGGTTCGAAAAACGATCGGATATTTTCTTGACCGCAATCGGGAGTGGGTTCACCAGGAGATCAGAGCGGAAGCCCTGGTTGTGCTGTGGTTTTCACTGCACATTGCGCTAAAGCTGGGCACTCGTGTCTTTCCGCAATGGGCGAACAGCCGCGTCGATCCCGACTCTCGGAAAGACTTTGATACTTTACTGGGGTGGTTCGGATGCGTAAGTTTTTATCTAGGCACCTGCTTTTTGTTTACGATACGACAAGCGAAACAAAAGCGTGTTTCATTATTTCTTTTGTGTGGTGTATCGAAGATAGAGAGGTCTGGAACTTTAGCATGGTCTCCACCTTAAACAAAGTGCTAAAGTGTTAAAATTGCAAAAATATTCTGTTTTTGAAATGTTAAGACATCTTTGCCGGAAATTTCCTTATTCTTTTTGGGTGATCGCTTTTAAAAAATAACCACTGCAATCCAGTTTCTCGCAGGAACGTTGCAAAAATCAATTATTTTCTAGAAAACTGTGAATGCGTGAAGTATGTCTTTTACAAAAATTCTTTGAATGGCTGTAGACCATAAACTTTCAGAAAGCTCCAAAAGGGCACACTAAATGTAAATAATGAAAAAACCAGGATTAATATATAGTAACCAAATTATATCTGAAGAGCTTTTGCCGATAAATGTCATATTATAAAATGATTGGCTTTACGTACTGCGACGTGATGACTCTGCAGTTTTAAAATAAATACTGTGCTAGAAATGATAAGCGCAGCAAAACAAATAAAATTGTGGCGAACGTTTTGCCTGGGTTAAAAATCGGTTTTCTTTCGCAGCGCTGTTCAACCGCATTTCGATGAAACTCAGGTGAACAATGACGTGGAAGCCAACGAACGCAAGGAGCTACCGGCAGCGGAACCGTCGCCGCTGCATTCCACGTCCAAGAAACACTTTTGCGTCTGCTCTATGTGGGCCTGTTTCCAGTGCGTCAACTTGACCATGCACCTGCGCCTTTTCGGCTGGACAAAGCTCCCGTTTCCGGTGGTGGGTTTCTTCCTTCCGGTGCGGCTGCAGCTGCCGGGTATCTTGCTGCTCTTGTCGCTCTTCATGATGTGGATGTACCGGGAATTTCTGCGCGATGTACTGGCGCTGTACCGCGGAGAGCGCGTTGTAGCTCAGCAGGATAAGGCACATTGTTGCTGCTGTGGAAAGAAACTGGATGCCAACGAGGCTAAAATTGCGGGCTTTCGCCGTTCAGTGTGACAAAGCTTCATGTGTTAAGGAAAAGGGACACATCCATCCTGGCTAACCGTTACTTAACATTAACCGACCGGTATAATTTTTGCTTGGATTTACCTGACTTTTAACCTTCAGTGCGTCCTTGTTGCGCATAACAAGCTGGCAGCCACCTGGGACATAACGCTCTACTCCAGTTTTTAAGTTTCATGAACGGATTGGTCATTGATTTTTGCGTGCCTCCGATGCAACTAGCACTGTGCACTCCTCATCGCTTTTTTTGCCACTCCCCGCTTTACGGTTGCCGTCGACGGCATTATTTTGCACGAGGACGCGTCGTTAATTAAAACGTCTGTGTCGTAAATTAAAACCTGAAATCACATTTTAATGTGTTCCCTTCTTTGCAATATGCGACACTTCAGTGTTACGTGTTAGCCGCTATAACACTATGAATTACCATACTTTGTACAGATCGAGACTGTCTATACTTCTATAACGAACATTATGCTGTTGTGTGTAAATATGATTTGTAACAAGAATTTCTTGAACAGATTATCTGCATACGGATCATGCGGTGCATATTTTGGGGTGGAAACTTCGTGACGTAATTCTTGTTTAAGATACCAAGATTTTGAGAAACGTTGCCGCACAGGTGACGTGTGGGGATGATAGTACGTACACATCTCTGTTTACCTATCATTACTGTTGTACGCCTTCTCCTACGTCACTGCAGTTGTGTGTTTACTGCTATCTGTGATTCGTCTGTGCTAATCTTGATAGAGGTGTATCTCTTACTCCTCGCAGTCTATAATATAAGATCTGGTCTTCCTGTGTTAACGATATCAGTCAGGATTAGTCTTGATCATTCTTGACTGGCTGCTTATTTCTAATTTCCTTGTGTTGTGTAATGTGTTGTGATTAACAAGACATCTTCCGTGTAGATTGGCGTTCGTAATTAGTTTCGGATCATAACGTAGTTTGCGTGGTATGCTCGTGTCACAATCGACCTTTGATCTTGCTGACCCTCGCATTAACTGCGACCGGAAGTTGGAAGTAAGAACATTCTGTACTTTTTCCTGCAGGCATTCGAGTTAGGGATTCCTGCGTTCGTCAAGGTTCGTGTTCCTGATCAGTTTCAGTCCGTTATTACTGTAACAGTTGAGTTATGAGTTGTTCTACCGATTGAGTCGAGGCTAGGGAAGTGGGAAGAACTCTACTTTACCGTAGCAGACTTTTGTCTACCGCGACACAGGTTAAAACAGTTTGTGTATTGGTAAGTGTGATTTGTGCGTTTTCTACCACTCAAATGTGCTAGGTAAACGAACCTAGGAATCAGTCCAGAAAAATTTAACGGGGCCTATGGAAGAACATTTTGTTTATATCACTATACAGAGGTACGTGGCAGTTTACGGGGGCGCCCCGCGTATATTTTCGCAGTGAAATAATAATAATGCTAAATAAGATAGGGCATCTACGAGCATTCCTTTTGCATCTTAAAGGCTGACGTGATTAAAACGGGATTTGTTGATTGTGGTATTTTTCCAGTTTTAGGTCCTGCGTTTTTTCGATATATCGTCAAGATGCCAAAATTCAGCCATTTAATTTACCATGTTTCAGGTTAGTGAATTCAGCGGTTACGTGGTTAAACTGAATAGCAAAAAAACGCAGTACGCCTTAGTAAGTTAATAGTGTAACATGGGATGCGCCTTTAGCGTTGTTTAGCGATGATTGGTTCTTTCCAGCGGTAGTTCATTTCTGTTCATTCCTGTTCGTTAGCGCTGTATTTGTGGGCTATGCGGCTTCGCCGGGCTATGCGATTTTTCAGTCTTGTTTCTCGCTTTTTGAATAAAGGTTTCCTTTGTTTAGAAAGTCGGGATCTGGGACTTTTCGAGTGTTTTTCAGTGGTTTCCGTGCCGATTCATTTAGATTAGGGTGGTATTTGTCAGTGATCACGATTTAGCAGTCAGATTTGCCTTCATTTTCCGTTTTATCATTTGTCTCTGTGACAAAGTGGCGCTCCTGTAATCAATCACCCATTGTCGGATGTAAACAGCAACGGGCTGTTGAATTTTGACGCCAAGCCGTTCAGTAGGACGAAGGACTCCGTTCCCTTTTTTTTAGTCCGTGGAGACGGAATTCGCACGGACGCTCGGCGGAGTCGGCCGATCGATTTCGTTCGGTGTGCAACAGGTAAGCACAGCGGCATACGCCGGCAGAGTAGTTTTTTCTCCTGAGCCGTCCGCCAAGTCGGTACCTCGAGAATCTGTTGCGAATGTCTAGAGACGGTCAGAGTACGCATAGAAGCGATAATCCAGACGAACATGTCGAAAAGAGCGTAGAAACTACGGGGAGAACCGATGAGTTCCTCAGGGCTTCTGATCTCAAAGCCGCCTTGCAGGCGTTTGTATCCGACTTTAGTCGTGAGTTTGAATCGCACTTTGAAAAACTGGTTGAGGAGAAGTTTAAAAACCTGAGTTTAAACAGCCAAGATGTACGAAAAAAGGATACCGTGAAATTAGGCAGTTTAACTGCGGCACCGGGGGATTTTCCTTCACACGTGCCTGGATCGGCAGCGCCGGTTGCACACGTCCCTAACAGTAGAGCGGAGCAGCATGATGTCATGACGTCACAAAGGCGGCCGGAGTCCATGATCCACAGCCCTGAGCGTGTGACGTCACAATTCGGCGCGCAGCCGTTCGACCTACCATACAGAGAACGACCTAACATTCACAGCAACGTTTCTCAAACGCAGGATCGTGCGAAAGCGCGCATGTTCAGACAGCATCCAAATGTTTTTGGTGGAGTGGATAACCGCCCGTTCGGGACCACTAATTCGGCTGATTTTGTTTCCCAGGATGTTCGTTTCTCCGCATTTAGGAGCGAACCAACCCGCTCGCGATTCGCGCACGAAGACAACATGGAGTGTGACATGTATTCTGAGAGCAACCGTGGAGATGCCAGAAAGGTTAGCTGGCAATTAAATTCTCCCGGCAGATCAGACAGGTTTTTTAGCTCACGCGATGACGAGACCGCGTCAGTAGACGATGATCACGCGGGTATCAGCAGACGTAATAACAGTTCCGGTGTACGAAGTGAAAAGCCCGAGTTAAACTCGCCATCACACCGCGTCTCGCACTCTGGCCTCAACACTACCACTTCAGCGCAGCTCAATGCGACTTCCGGCACTGCCGCATATAATCCTTACATGTTCATGCAGGCACCTTCACAGAAGATTGTTAAAATCCCAGAGTTTAAAGGGGATAAAACAGAACGAGTAGAAAACTTCATAGCTCGGTATGAAGAGATTGCGTTTATTAACGGATGGTCTGATGATTTTATGGTTGCTGGTTTGGTGCAAGCTCTAAAAGGGAGGGCTGGAGATTTTTATGACAACGTGCGTAAACAGTACGTAGGACGCCTTTCGTTCTCAGAGTGGAAAATTAAGCTAATGGAAAAGTTTTATGAGCACGATCGTGAGTTAGTCGCTTCTCAAGATCTAGCTTCTCGGTATTATAAACCGCAAAAGAGAGTATCGATGATTACTATCAGGCGGTTATGGATTTAATCGCGGACTGCGGATGCGTGTTTACTCCGGTAATGCAGGTTAATTACTTGGTTAATGGTCTGCGTACGCTACCTGAATTGTATACTTTGGTTGCGACTAATATGCCATTGACACCTGCAAACTTCCTCCTGCAAGCACGTAACTGTAGCCGCATTCTCGCGCAGAAAACCAGCGATGCTGCAGTGGGAATTCAGTCACAGTTGCATGTCAGTGATCATTTCAATAGGAATCGCCATAGGCGCAGTTCGTTCTCAGAACGGTCGACGGGTGATTTAATCTCATTCTCAGAAACCGAGCAGCAGAATAGCAGGCCAACTGATTCAGGGACTAATCAAGGGACAAGTCGACCGCCCACCCCAGCAACATAACTTGCTGGACGTGTGGAGAAAAAGGCCATGTAAGCCCCAGCTGTAAGTGGTATCAGGTCGACCCGGCCAAACTTCCGCCGTCTGTGCGCGAGTACCAGGTGCAGCGTCGACAACGCCGCGAGTCATTACGCGATAGCGCAGATAATGCGGGCAGCCGCCCACCGAGTGCGGGACCGCCAAAAAACGGGAGCCGACAGTAGTGGGAGGTGTAGCTGTCGGTACGCTAGAATTACCTCTTAGTGAGAAGGATGCTAGTTATAATGCAGTGCCGGGAGGTACAGGTTACCGAAAATTTTCGGATTACCGTGGGTCAGCTAACGCTGCTGCTAGCACGGAACTTCCGGCGACAGTGAGTGCTGTTGAACGGCTTGAGACTGATATTCCTATCATAGCACAGCATTTCCGGTTTAACGTTACAGTTAACGGGTACGATGTTCCCGCGCTAATAGATACTGGTTCAGATTTCTCGCTAATTTCCAAAGCGTTTTGTGATCAACAAGGAATCGTATATAAGGATCTTATACGAAGCGGCAGTCCGCTGTATATGCGCGGCATTACGGGTAAGGTGCAACCACTAACATTGTACACTATAGTAAATGTTAACTTTTTGAACGCAACGTATGCGCACGCCGTATTTGTCGCGGACATTCAGCAGCAGTTTTTATTGGGAATGGATTTTTTTATACGGAAACCTAAATGTGTAGACCTGTTAAAAGCTAACATACTGCCGAATGATTGTGTAGAACAGACGATTCAGTGGGTGGACATTCAATGGGACGACAGGTGCAGTCTTTCGTCCGTTGCGATTTCCCAGTTTTTAACTGAAGTGTATGCTTGCCCATACTTACAGGGATATAAGATTATGGTTATCCCGCCCCACGAGAACATTAAGTATGCCGTCATTCACTGGAATGGTTGTCTGAATTCGGCTGAAGCCGCAATTACGCGCAATGCTATCGAGGCGTTTTCACTGATAAACAGTCTGAAAGCTACTGTTACTATGAGTTCTTTTAAACGTCAGCAACAGTCTTTCCCTAAAGTAGACGTTCAGCAAAAACATGTCGTGTTTAGCGCAGAAACTGTCGACAAGGCGT